ATACTCTACTGAATCTGATAGTCATAATGGTTGATCTATTTCTTATGAAATTATTATCTCCATTTTAAGAAAAAAATGGAAGTTCAGAGAAGTGACTTGCCCAAAGTCAACAGGTGGAATTGGAACATGTTCCCAAGTCTAATGGTAACAAACTTCATGTGTGTTGTTATCAACTTTAAAGGCTGAAATATGGAAATATTAATATATCAATCTGCCTTATTATTATTTTAGGTAGGCCTATACTAAGGATGGCACAAAAAACTTTTTATATTTCCTACCTCCTGCTATAGGTAATTGCTCCATGTGCAATACAATAACATCCTGACTGGCAAGGCAGTTTACTTGGGTCCTTTACAGCAGATGAAACAGGGGTTGCCTGGGTGGCTCAGTTGGTTAAGTGTCCGACTTCGGCTCAGGTCATGATCTCACAGTTCGTGGGTTTGAGCCCTGCGTCGGGCTCTGTGCTGACAGCTCAGAGCCTGGAGGCTGTTTTGGATTCTGTGTCTCTCTCTCTCTGACCCTCCCCTGATCATGCTATCAGAAATAAAATAAAAAAGTAAAAAAGAATTTTAAACAACAGATGAAACATAATTATTTGAAAGAATGTTAATATTTAAATATAAATACCATTAGTTTGAAAAGGAAAATATATCAAAACTATACTTGACTCAAAATATCAGTCAGTATTTAGTATCTTTAAATCTTTCAACTATATGAGTCATATATAAAAGATGATGGTATCTAAGAGTTTAGATAGATGATATGCCACTTGTACAATTTAGTACTTTACAATAATAGCAAAGGGCCAAATGAAATAGTTTAATATTGAGTTTTATAAATATTGATATAAAATAATCTTATGTAAAATGACAGAATTTGGGGAAAAGCATAAGAAAATAAAAATCAGATAAATTGCTTTAAAAAGGATGACCAAGATAAAAATATAAACTTACTATAAAAAAGCACTAAACTAACTACCTGATTATGCCTTGTCAAAACATATTCCTCTTAATCAGTATTTACCATGAGATTTTCAAAGGCTAGTTTCTGGGAATAGTAAGTTTCATGCAGCTTTTATTTTTCTTTTAATACATTGAAGCTTGTTTATTACAGAGTGGAATTAGGTATAAGATGGGTTGTTTTGGACCTTGTCCAAGAGTTTAGTTACTGAAAGCACTTTATTATAAGGTGGTTTCACCAATAAGGTGATCCACTGGCTCAGATCCCATGGATATTATAACAAGGCTCCATTGTAGAGTACAGGAAGCTGGGCAGCTAATGTTCTATCAAATGAAACCTTAAGAAACAAACTTCTTTTCTTGAGGAGGTGGGTAGACATGAAAATCATTTAAGCCTAGAGAATCATAAACCCAGGTCATCTGTCTAAATTTCCATTTCCTGAAGTGATGTTCTTTATTGTACATTTAATAGCTGCACATATACTTCATGTTATGGTTTTAGCTTCTTTAAGACATTCATTGTCTGATGTGGTATTAAATTATTTTTTATTATGAAAATGTCCAGTATTAATACTACCCTTCTCCTTATAAAAGACTGACTTCATTGGTCTACAAAATAGACAAGAATCTACCAAGAGTTTACAAAGGCTAAAGTAAAATCTGGTGCAACTCCTTGATAAATCTGAGGCATGAGTAAGAATAATTGTGTAGTAGTCAAATAAAAAAAAACGCCATCACTTAGACATTAAATAATTGCAATGACCAGTCTTTTGAGTGATTTTACAACAGGCACTTTGATTTCATAAAGTTTTATAAGCAATCTTGAAGAATTAAATTTTTGAATGTGTTTTACTTTGGAAAAATAACACGACAAAGTTGCTGCAGAAAAATATGAAAAGCCTTTAAAAAATTAACGAATATGAAGATCAAAAGAATAAAAACAAGGGGTGCCTGGGTGGCTCAGCTGGTTAAGCACCGACTTCGGCTCAGGTCATGATCTCGTGGTTTGTGGATTTGAGCCCCACGCAAGGCTCTGTGCTGACAGCTCACAGCCTGGAGCCAACTTTGGATTCTGTGTCTCTGGCTCTCTCTGCCCCTTTCCTGCCCCACTCTTTCTCTCTCAAAAATTAACATTAAAAAATTTTTTTAATGAAAAAGAATAAAAACAAAGCCTTATGAGAACTTAGATACACCAGCAAATTAAAAACCATGTAATAACTAACTGCATAGTAGCAATTATTAATGAACTGTCATTAATTTTTAATACAATTATAAAAAGTTTTAAATGATTTAGTTAAATTTCAAAAGTAAAGTCATGAAACATTTCAAAAGTAAAGGTACATTGTACCTTTCTCCATCAATAAAGGCTTTTCCAACTGGTAGTTTTCCTGATTCATGGCCAGTATGCTATACATACTTTCAGCCCTTAAGTAAAATCAGTATAATTATTTCATATATCCATTGAGTGGGTAAGGCAAATTACCTGATAAACAATTTCTTTTTTTTTAAATGTTTCTTTTTTTTTGAGAGAGAGAGAGAGAGAGCACTACAGAGTGTGAGCATGGGAGGGGCAGAGAGAGGGAGACACAGAATCCAAAGCAAGCTCCAGGCTCTGAGCTGTCAGCACAGAGCCCAGCGTGGGGCCTGAACTCATGAACCATGAGATAATGACCTGAGCCAAAGTTGAAAGCTTAACCAACAAAGCCACCCAGGTGCCCCCCTGATAAACAATTTCTAACTCATGTATCTCCGAAGTCTTAAAAATTAACTAGCCAAGTACTTTTTCCTTCCTAGTATATAACTATTCTTTATTGTCCATTTATCTTCCTATGTATCTATCTGTCATCTATCATGATAAAAGGGAAACCTTCATATAAATCAAGGGTGCACTTCAGATATATGATTGATTTACTAGCTAATATCTGAGGGTTTGCCATGTGCCAGATATGCTTTCACATTTTAAATTATTTAACTAAAACATCTATTTTAAAAGTACATTATTACTAATTAAAATGTTCTACCTCCTAACCTATTATAAAGACTGGTACTTTAATTCTTGCAATATATTATCCTGGTCAAAGTTGGCGAGACTATATACCAATTTCAGTAGTGATACCATTGGACAAAATTTTTGAAATACTTCCTGGAATTACTTAATGCTAGTGGCACTCTACATACAGTCTCAGTTAATGGACACTTTTAGCCTCAGGGAGAATTAGATTTTGGAGAGAATAAATCTGAGATTAAGTTGGATAATACACCAAGGTATGACTAAAAAATATTGTGCTTAATTTTTCTCATGTAACTTACCAATTCTTCTAAAGGCAATGTTAAGGTCGAAAAATGTTTTCATTATAGCATTGTTAAAAATAAATATCAGGGCACCTGGGTGACTCAGTTGATTAAACCTCTTAACTTTGGCTTAGGTCATGAGCTTATAGTTTGTGAGTTCAAGCCCTGCAATGGGCTCTGTGCTGACTGTGCAGAGCCTGCTTGGGATTCTCTCTCTCCCTCTCTTTGCCCCTCCTCTGCTCACTTGCTCTCTCAAAACAAAAATATCTTGCTTCCCAAGTTACTATGCACATATTCATACAATTTTTTTTTTTAATATTTTTTATTTATTTCTAGGAGAGAAAGAGAGACAGCGTGAGCAGGGGAGGGTCAGAGAGAGAGGGAGACACAGACTCTGAAACAGGCTCCAGGCTCTAGGCTGGCAGTCAGCACACAGCCCGACGCGGGGCTCGAACCCACGAACCGCGAGATCGTGACCTAAGCGAAAGTCGGACGCTCAACCGACTAAGCCACCCAGGCGCCCCGCATACAATTTTTACTTAAAGATAGATGAGTATTATTTCACATTTTCTATAAAATGGTTTACTTTGAGAAAAAAATTTTAATGTCTATTTATTTTTGAGAGAGAGCAAGTAGGGAAGGGACAGAGAGAGGGAGACAGAATCCCAAGCAGGCTCCATGCCATCAGCACAGAGCCTGATGTGGGGCTTGAACCCACCAACCATTAGATCATGACCTGAGCCGATATCAAGAGTCAGACGCTTCACTGACTGAGCCACCTTGCAAGTGCCCATTTATTTTTAAATTTTTATTAAAAAAATTAACATTTGTTCATTTTTGAAAGACAGAGACAGAGTATGAGCAGGGGAGGGGCAGAAAGAGAGGGAGACACAGAATCTGAAACAGGCTCCAGGCTCTGAGCTGTCAGCACAGAGCCGGACGTGGGGCTGGAACCTACAAACTGTGAGAACATGACCTGAGCTGAAGTTGGATGCTTAACCTACTAAGCCACCCACGCGCCTACGGTTTACCTTATTCTAAGCATTCTGGAACAAAAGCAACCGAAGATTAACTCAGAATAAAATAACAACATATAGTCCTTTAAATTATGGATTTTTGAAGCCAAAGGGATTTACATGGTTTTATATACTAAATCCCACATTTCACAGATGAAACTAATTTCCCGAAAGGCATGTGATTGCCAACGAGACCTAGTAAATTAGTGGCAGAGCCAGGAACAGAGCACAAATCTCTTTCTTCCACCTGATATTCTGTCTACTACCCTACTACCCTTATCTGTGGATTAGGAACTACATCAGAGAGGACAAATGGTTTCACTCTCGCAACATAATCTATTTTAGTACTTGTAACTTATTTCTCACTGATCAACTAAGAAAAATGTACAATACTAGCGATCAAATAGTATCCATCTATACTAATCTATACACCTATACATCTATAGTATTCATCTATAGATGAATATTTTAACTGGTAAGTTATCAATTTAAATTTCTTTGAACTATGCCTGCAGTTGTATTATCCAATGCTGTAGAAACAAGCTGTATTCAATCTAAACACCTTCAAAATAAAAGTAAACATACAGATGTACAATAATTCACTTATCCAAATGAATTTATAAAATACTGGATTCCTGGGAATTCTGACTTGAACAACTTGTAGAATTTCAATTCAAATCACTCACATTGAATAAGAGATGTTTCTTAGAAAAAGATGAGTGAATGTATTTTTGGAATGATGACAGAGAAATGCATCTTTTATAACCATTTTTGATCAGAAGTATAACTTCATTTCACAAATCTGTGAAATTCACAAATAAACAGAATCAAATTTACAGAAAAATTTAGTGACCTATATAAGAGAACATTTTTCAGCTGCAGTTACGTGTTTGGGTTTACTTATAAAATTTATATATGGAGTTTTCTATGTTAACAGTTTCATAATTACAACCTTCATGCTAGAACATGTCACTTTTTTCAACAATGATGAAGCCAAATAATTAGGATTGAAAATTTGGAGTCATTCATTTGGCATTTTGTAACTACATAATTTGCTAATATTCAGTGCTTGATTGTGGTTTATCAAATGAAAAAAATGTAAAGCAACATCAATTAAAAATACATGTAGTTTTCTTCCTTAATTCTTAATTCCTTCTAAGTAGGCAGTTTAATACAGGAATAAACTTTCAAGAAAACTTTGATTTCTAAAATAATATACTGATTTGAGGTAAATATATAAGGGAAACATGACTGAAATATGACTGGATTAGACTGCTATTGATTTCTATGTATTAGTATAAAAACAGATAGTACCTTAGGAAACTACATATCTTTTACATTGGTTAATTTTTAAATTGTATTCATCTAAGGAAAACTTGTTGGAGGAAAATATTTTGTATGAATCAGTTTATCAAAACTCAAAAATAATAAAACATTCTGAACATAAAATAGAAACTCTAACAACAATGAATTAAAGTGAAAAATACAAAAAATAAAAAAAACATACAACTTATCCAATGTAGAAATTGTCATTTATAAGAGAGTTTAATATAAGCATGACAATACATTTTTAGAGTGTGACAGTTAAGTATTATTACCTAACACCAGGGAACACACCTTTATTTTTTGGAAGGAGACTGTTTAATGTTCTTTATATCTGTTTCACGAGTTTTTCCCAGGTCTAATTTATTTATATGGGTTGTTCTTACATTACTGTATTGTCATTAACTTTGCCTTCTTTAATATGCATGAGTCTATTCAACTTTGTGCAATCCTCAGCTTTCATTTCTTGGACTGAATCCACTCCTTTCTCAGTTCTAATTTCAAAAAGATCTTCAGCTAAAACGCAATCTGAATTATTAGCCCATCTATTATCTCTATCACTTTCAACTTGTTCATTCTTTTCTTCATTTGTGTCTTCAGGATCATAAAGCTCAGGTGTAAAATAGATAGATTCATCCTCTGCTTCTATGTCAGAAGCTCTATTTGAAATGGAAAGTTTAGCTTCTTCACTAACTACAGACAATTCAATGTCCGGATCCAGGGCTTCTTCATAGGACAGCTGTTCAGAATAATTGTCATCAGTCTTTACTGATGAAATAACAATTTCTGATTGAGGGCATGATCCAACTGATGTGTTTACTGTTAGGGATGAGGACTCACATTTATCAGTGAGTGGTAAAACTGTTTTACATCCCTTTTCTGTTTCAACAGGGGAAGCTCTAGAGGCATAGTCCTCTGATGACCTGAATTTAGGTGCTGCAGTCAGAATTTCATCAATAATATAATGTCCCAAAGAATTAAAGCTAGACCAGTCAACTCTCTTTGTCTGTTTGTTGAAGGTTGGGCTTGTCGATCTGGAAATCACAATTGTTTCTGCTTTCATTGTCTGGGCAGACTCTTCCAATAATACAGGATCATCTATAAATACAAAAATTTAAGAGTATTAATTTTCCGTTCCTAACTAATATAATAATTGTTACATTAAAGTAATTTTTATTAAAAATAATGAAGTAACTGTAATTGAGAGCCAACAACCAATAGTAGCAGGACTTGATCTTAGAACATAAAGAACAAAATGGGAACTCTGAAAGGAATCCTAGGTTCCCAGTGATTCTGAGCCCAAGTTATAATGCTGTCTGGTAAACTATCAAATTCCACACCAGGGACTTCAGGAGTGAATGAGAAAAGGAGGGGTAAAAAGGAATAGGAAGAGGGCTGAGTAATGGAGGAAATGTACTAAAAAAATTTGCCTTGAAAATCTACTAACCAGTGATTAGGAAAAACTGACTTAGATTCATTCCCTAAAGGAAACTGGCAACCACAAGGACTAAATTATTTGTTTTAAAGTTATAAAACTGGTTAGTAATCAGACCCAACTAGAACTCAGGTTTCCTGATTACCAGTCTAATGGCTTTGCATTCACTATGATATTTATTTTAAAAAAAAAAAGAAAAACAAAAACACCATTTACTATGAAGTAAATATTTAATACTTAATATATTAAGTTATCATATATTAGTTAAAAAAATTAAAATGGTATCCAATGATACAGACCACAGTTTGGCAAAGCTTTTCTATAGCCAGCCAGGCAGTAAATATTTTAGGCCTTGTGGGTCATATTGTATCTGTTGCAACTACAGGCATATCTCCTTTTATTGCACTTTGCAGATACTGCATGTTTTACAAATTCAAAGTTTGTGGCAACCTTGCCTATAAGCAACATTTTTCCAACAGCATTTGCTTATTTCATGTCTATGTGCCACATTTTAGTAATTCTTGCAACATTTAGAGCTTTTTCATTATATTTGTTATGCTCATCTCTGCCAAGTGATCTTATATGTTACTATTGTAATTGTTTTGGGGCACTATAAACCATGCCATATAGATGGTGAACTTAATAGACAAATGTGTGTATTCTGGCTGCTCCCCTGACCAACTGTTCGCCCAGCTCTTTCCCTTTCTTCAGGCCTCCCTATTCTGAGACACTACAATATTGATATTAGGCCATTTAATAATCCTACGATGACCTCTAAGTGCCAAGAGTTACATGTCTCTCACTTTAAGTCAACAGCTAGAAATGATACGCTTAGTGAGGAAGACATGTTGAAAGCCAAGATAAATCAAGTTGTAATTCTGACTTTCAACTCTTATTATTTGAGAAAGACATTTTTGTAAGGCAATAGCTGCCACAGATAGTGATACCTTTGATGGATCTGGGAATAATAAATTGAAAACTTTCTGGAAAGGATTCACCATTCTAGATGCCATTAAGAACATTCATGATTTGAGTGAAAGGCCTTTGGGGAGTAGACTTGGGAAGACCCTGCCTCAGATCACGTCTTTCTGAGCAGAAGTGGCAGTACCGAGAGCCAACTGGTCAAAAGAATAAACTTTACAGGGGCTTAGTCTGACACATGCTCCACAGTTGGACTTGCTGCCAGGGAACGTAATGTTAAAGTCTTAAGAAAACTGCTCAGGGGCGCCTGGATGGCTCAGTGGGTTAAGCTTCCAACTTTGGCTCAGGTCATGATCTCGCGGTCCGTGAGTTCGAGCCCCACACCAGGCTCTGTGCTGACAGGTCAGAGCCTGGAGCCTGCTTCAGATTCTGTGTCTCCCTCTCTCTGCCCCTCCCTGCTCATGCTCGCTCGCTCTCTCTCTCTCAAAAATAAATAAACGTTAAAAAAAAAACTGCTCAAAAAGGGAAGTAGGGTTAATGTGGTGATAACAGGGGATGGATGCTGATTCACGAAACAGCTTATCACAACTCTGTAGAATGTTTACAGATGTTAATTCACACAGATTCATCTGAAAACTACATTAAGACAAAGATATTTGAGGGCTTCTGTGCATCTTGCTGCAAGTCAAGGACATTGGAAGACTGTACACACTCTTTAAGAAGCTGGGGCAGATCCTAATGCCACTACCTCAGAGAAATCCATGTCACTGTTTTTAGGTGTTGAAAATGGACAGATAGATATATTAAAGTTGTTGCTTCGACATGGAGCAAATGTTAATAGATCCCATTCTATGTGCGGATGCAACACTTTGCATTAGGCTACTTTTCAGAAAGATGCTGAGATCATAAAATTGCTTCTTTAAAAAGGCACAAACAAGGAATGCTAGGATGGCTTTGGAATCATGCCTTTATTTGTGGCTCCTCAGTATGGCAAGCTAGAAACCTTAAGCATACTTGTTTCACCAGGTGCAAATAACTGTCAAAACATTGGACGAAGCTACTCCCTTGTTCACTGGTGCTCAGGAAGGCCACACAGAATGTGTAGAGCTTTTGCTGTTCAGTGGGGCAGATCCTGATCTTTACTGTAATGAGGGCTACTGGCAGTTGGCTATTCATGTAGCTGCACAAATGGTCTATACAAATATCTTGGACTTTTTAATACCACTTACCAACTGGGTTTGTGACAAGGGCCAAACAAAGTGAGCCCCATTTACTGTGCAGTGTTCGGAGGGCATGAAGAGTGTCTAGAAATGTTACTCCAGCATAGCTACAGTCCAGATGCCCAGATGTGCCTCATCTTTGGATTCGGTTCTCCCATGTGTATGGCTTTCCAAAAGGACTATGAATTTTTTTGGAATTGTGAATATTCTTTTGAAATACGGAGCCCAGCTAAATGAACTTCATTTGGCATACTGCTTGAAGTATGAGAAACTTTCAGTATTTCACTACTTTTTGAAGGAAGGTTGTCCACTGGCACCGTGGAACCATATTTCTGAATTTATAAATCATGCAATTAAAGCACAGACAAAATATAAGGAATGGCTACCATCTCTCCTGCTTGCTGGATTTGACCCACTGAATTTACTCTGCAGTTCATGGATTGACTCAGTTAGTGATGACATCCTTATCTTCACTTTGGAGTTTACTAACTGGAGGGGGCTTCCTTCAGCTATTGAAAAGATACTCTCTACTCATGCCTCAAACTCCTTTTGGACTCTGTAAGCAGCATATTGCCTCTGTTCCGTCCTTCACCCACTTTTGTTGTTTGGAAATTCGGTCCGGTCTCAAATCAGAACACTTATGATCTGACACTTTTACCTGTCAGTTGCCACTTCCCAGATTTGCTCTATGCAAAGGTTCTGAGGATGAATGAAGTTCCAGAACTGGCAGTTATTCAAGATGGAAAAATCAGCGAAGCTACTTAATGTAGCTTGTGTCTTACTCTAAAAACTACCAAAACAAAGAGCCATGCAGTACAAATTCTTCATGATTTTATGGTCATAAACTAAGATTTTGCTTGTGTGGTTGGTTAGGTTTGTGTTGGCGGGGGGGGAGGACAGTGGTTTAATGCAAAAGTTTATAGCTGGGCTTCCTGGCTTAAAAAAAAAATACTGTAAACCTCACTTAATGTTACTTTAGTAGATTCATCACCAGCACATTTTATGTTGTAAATTCATTTACCTAACCATATTATAAATTATTTTGTTAATGAACTATGATGCTGCTTCTAGTGCTGCTGCTTCTAGTGCAGAAAATGGCATATTTCCACTTACAAGTCTGTTTATCTAAGGCTAGGAGCTTAGAATGGGATGCATAAAACTTTCCTGGAAATGTACACACAATGGGGTTGAATCTATTATTATCATCACTATTATTAATTTTATTTGAGGTTGACTCTTATGTGTCTAAGTAAGTCCATTCTCATCTCTTAATTCAGTTTTATAAAGAATTGCTATTCACTGGCTTTTCACAGATAAACTCAGGGGAGAATCTTTTTTTAAAGAATACAGAAAATGAATAATTTTATTGTTGTTGTCGGTCCTTACTTTCCCCTCAGTTCCTTAATACTCTTTGGCTAAAAGAAACTTCCATTTCCGCAAAGGCAAGAACACATCTAAACTCAAAGATAGGCTAAGTTGAAAAAAATTAGGTCAGTATTGAAATAAACACACATTTTACCACATTTAGAATACTAATTAGGAAACTGAGAGGGGCATTTCTGTGGCGCTATCTTTAAAGAAAGAAAGCTATGTATTTCTGAGTCACATAGTATCAAATAAAACATTCAAGTTCCATTCAGCCTCCAGATCCGAGGGCAGCTTTGATCCTATGAAGCAATGATCGCCAATTTTATTAATATTATAGTGTTTTTCCTTTTTATTCTAGATTAGTTATCAAATACTCCTTGATCCTATGAAATTTAGACCTCAGAATCTTAGGGTAATGAGCTACTACCTCATTGGTAGTGCTCAATATGAATCTATAGTCAGAGAAGACTAAACATTGGATCAGGTGAGCTATTATGGTAAGATGTTGTCAGGACCAACCTTGAAAGAAAGTTTATGAAGTCATTACTGTAATGAGAGACAACTAGAAATTGGGCCCAGAGGAGGGCAAGTCTTCTGTTCAATTGGGATTCTGTGGCTTGAAATAGATGGGAGTGTGTTAGCCAGGTCCATCTCTGATAGGCCTTTGCTATATGCTAAATAGCAGTGATGAAGTCAGACCAAATGATGGAAACATTGTTAAGGTCCAGAGGGATAACTGAACTCAGCAGTTTATAGCTATTGTTGTTTCCTGTGGGTGGAGATAAGAGTTTGAATGTGGGTATATAGGCAGAAGTAAGAGTAGATATGGAAAACCAGGTGGAAATTCTGGTACTTATATTAAGTATAATTATATTAAGATACAATTATATTAATTATAATTATATTAGTAATAATAAATTCCAAGAATGTATGTACTATGTAATAATTTTTAAGTGTTGCCCTAATCTTTATTTTTCCAAACCCTAAGTCTCTGGTTTTTAACATAATTGGTTATTATTGGGGCCAAATGCACATAGGATGTTTACATTTGAGGGTGACTCTTCTCATGTGTTTTTATTCATGTTCAAATGTGTAATAAAAATTAAACTATCAAAGAAAAAGATTTATGGGAAGAAACTAAAATACCAGCATTAACAGGAGTTTGGAGGGAGTTGATTCCAGTCCTCATGGATGACCTTAAGGGATTCAAGACTTTAGTGGAGGTGTGGTGGAAATAGCAAGAGAACTAGAATTAGACCTGAAGCCTGAAAATGTGATTAAATTGCTGCCACCTCATAAGAAAACTTCAATGGAAGAGGAACTGCTTCCTATGCCTTAGCAAAGAAAGTAGTTTCTTGAGATGAAATCTACTCAATGCTATGAAAGTTGTTGAAATGACTACAAAGAATTTAGGATATTACATAAACTTAATGATGTAGCAGCAAAGCTTGAGAGGACTGACTCCAATTTTGAAAGTTCTAATTTGGATAAAATACTATCAAACAACATTGTATGCTATAGAGAAATCATTTGTGAAAGAAAAGTCAATTGATGTGGCAAGCTTCATCGTGGTCTTATTTTAAAAATTGCTGCATCCACCCCAGCCTTCAGCAACCACCACCCTGATCAGTTAGCAGCCATAGATATTGAAGCATGACCCTCCACCAGTAAGAAGATGATGACTTGTTCAAAGCTCAGTTGATGGTTAGCGTTTTTTAGCAATAAAGTTTTTAAAATTAAGGTATATACATTATTTTTAAGACATAATGTTATTACACACTTAAGTAACTATAGTATTAGTATAATGTAAATGTAATTTTTATATGTACTACAAAACCAAATTTGAATTGTTTTATTGTGATACTCGCTTTATTGCGGTGGTCTGGAACCAAACCCACAATACCTCCAAGGTATGTAAGTACTCAATTATGCTGGTCTAGTGCAAAATATACTATGACTAAACTGCTGTTGTGTACCATACATAACTGAATAGATGTGACGATGTACCATGAAATTTGATATACAAAAAAGATGGCCAAATTGGTCCATAAGCCACAGTTTGGCAACCCCTGACAGAGACTATTATATTCTATTTTAAAACTTTATTTTTTATTATTTAGAATAAATGACTATCACTTCCCTAAACTAATAAATACATGTAAGAGAAGTTATCTATAAATTAGACCAATTTTTAATACAGCCTTCAGGAAAACATCTGCCATTTGTACAGTATTTTACCATGCTGTGATATTTATCATCTTATCAAATCTTGCAACCCAAGCTGACGGATATGTAGGCAGAGATTCCTTTTTTCTTTCTTTCCTTGAAAGTTTATTTATTTACTTAGAGAGAGGGAGACAGAGGGCAGGAGGGACAGAAAGAGGGGGAGAGAATCCCAAGCAGCCTCAGCTGACAGTGTAGAGCCAGACATGGAGCTTGATCCTGGGATCCTGGGATCATGACCTGAGCTGAAATCAAGAGTTGGATGCTTACCTAGCTGAGCCACCCTGGTGTCCCAGAGATTCCTTTTTCTATTAAGTCTCAAAAATAGTTACGTGAAGTTAGGTAGTGACAAAGTTTTGAATGGAAAACCAGAAAAATATGCTCAGGTCTCTTGACAAAAGTTTATTCCCATTCGAATACACCATACTATTTCATTATTTTATGATAATGCCTTCTATTACAAGCTAACATATTTAAGGAAATTAATCTATAGCAAAATAAATACCATTTCACTAGATATAATGAAAGACTTCTCTATCAAATGTAAATAGGCAAAAATTTTCAAACCTTGTTCCTTTTGGGAGACGATGTCTATTGGTAGAGATGGACTTGTAGTTATTTTAGGACAATGTAGTTCCTGGGCACACATTTTTGCTTCACCTTCCCAAGGATTTTCTGTTGGTAGATGATTTGCTGCTTCTAATAAGTAAGTTAAGGGATTGTCCTTCAAACAGGACACTTCAAGTGTAGACTCACTGTCCTGTATAAACTTTCTGTCTTCTTTGGATACATCAATGACTTTCTGATGCTTTTTGGAAAATTCAGCCAAGGACTCCATTGCACTTTCAAAGGTTGAATGGTACTGAATCTGCTGCCGTATCCATTTAGAAAGCCCTGAGGAAAGAAGTAAACCCAGGGAAGAAACTTGGGTTATTTAGTTTCCTAAGACACTATGTAGTAAGAAAAAACATAATTTTTCTAATGAAGTAATCTACATGAACTTAGGATATATTGAATAAGTCTCTACACTAAAAACTGTAGAAAGTTTATGAAAGAAATTGAAAAAGACATAAAAAATGGAAAAACATTCCACGCACATGGACTGAGTTCATAATTGTTCTTCTGAACAAATATGTTAACAAATATTTAACAATATTGTTAAAATGTCTATACTACCCAAAGCAATCTATACATTCAATGCCATCCCTATCAAAATAACACCAGCATTCTTCACAGAGCTAGAATAAACAATTCTAGAATTGTACGGATCCAGAAAAGCCCCTAAACAGCAAAGTCATGTTGAAAAAGAAAACCACATCTGGAGGCATCATAATTTTGGATTAAAAAGTTGTAATCAAGATAGTATGGTACTGGCACAAAAACAGACATATAGATCAATGGCACAGAACAGAGAACCCAGAAATGGAGCCACAAATGTATGACCAACTAATCTTTGACAAAACAGGAAAGAATATCCAATCAAAAAAAGACAGCAAACGGTGGTGGGAAAACTGGGCAGTGACATGCAGGAGAATGAACCTGGACCACTTTCTTACACCATACCCAAAACTAAACTCAAAATGGGGGCGCCTGGGTGGCTCAGTTGGTTGATCGTCTGACTTGGGATCAGGTTATGATCTCACAGTCTGAGTTTGAGCCCCACATCAGGCTCTGTGCTGACAGCTCAGAGCCTGGGGCCTGTTTTGGATTCTATGTGTGTGTGTCTCTCTCTGTTCCTTCCTCACTTGTGCTCTTTCTCTCTCTGTCTCAAAAATAAATAACCGTTAAAAAAATTTAAAAATAAACTAAACATGAATGAAAGACCTAAATGTAAGACAAGAAACCATTAAAATCCTAGAGGAGAAAACAGGCAATGACTTCTTTGACTTCAGCTGCACCAACTTCTTACTAGACATGTCTCTGGAGGCAAGGGAAACAAAAGCAAACATGAACTACTGGGGCCTCATCAAAATAAAAGCTTCTGCACAGCAAAGGAAACAATCAACAAAACTAAAAGGCAACCAGCGGAATGAGAGACGATATTTGCAATTAACATATTGGGTAAAGGGTTAGTATCCAAAGTCTATAAAAAACTTATCAAACTCAACACCAAAAACAAGTAATCCAGTGAAGAAATGAGTGAAAGACATGAACAGACACTTCTCCAAAGAAGACATCCAGATGACTAACAGACACATGGAAAGATACTTAATATCACACATCCTGAGGGAAACACTAATCAAAACCATGATGAGATATCATTTCATACCTGTCAGAATGAGTAAAATTAAAAACTCAGGAAACAACAGATGTTGGTGAGGATTTGGAGAAAGGGGACTACTTTTTGCAGTGATGGTGGGAATGCAAACTGGTGCAACCACTCTAGAAAACAGCATAGAGGTTCCTCAAAAAATTAAAAATAGAGCTACCCTATGACCCAGCAATTGCATTACCAGGTATTTATCCAAAGGATACAAAAAGGCACCCCAATGCTTATAGTAGCACTATCAACAAGAGCCAAATTATGGAAAGAGCCCAAATGTCCACTGACTGATGATGAATGGATAAAGAAGATGTAGTATATTATACAACGGTGATCAAAAAGAACAAAATCTTGCTATTTGCAACAATGTGGATGGAATTAGAATGTATTATGCTAAGTCAGTCAGAGAAAGACAAATACCTTATGATTTCACCCATATGTGGAATTTAAGAGACAAAAGCACGAACACAGGGGAAGGGAAGGGAAAAAAAAGATAAAAAGAAACAGGGAGGCAAACCAAAGGAGTTTTTTTTTTTTTTTTTTAACTTTATGTATTTATTTTGAAAGACTGAGAGAAAGCAACAAGAACGAGCAGGGGAAGGGCAGAGAGAGGAGAGAGAACCCCAAGCAGACTCCACACTGTTAATACAGAGCCTGATGTGGGGTTTGAACCCATGAACCATGAAATCATAACCTGAGTTGAAATTGAGAGTTGGATGCTTAACTGACCGAGCCACCCATGGATCCCTAAGAGACTGAAATACAAAGAACTAAGGTTGCTGGAGAGGAGGTGAGTGGGGAGCTGTGCTAAATGGGTTAAGGGTACTAAGGAGGGCTTTGTTGGGATGAGCACTGGGTGTTATATGTAAGTGATGAATCACTAAATTCTAAAACTATTATTACACTATATGTTAACTAACTGGGATTTAAGCAGGAAAAAAAATTTCCTGCCTAAAAATCTTCACATGTACACTATGCTTATCATTACTCATGTATCAGTATCATTTTTCTTGTCAATTGGAAGGGAAGAGGGAATGAGAGTCGAGTGGAATGGGAGAAATGTATTATTTGTCAGTTTAGAGTGACTGGGTAAATAAGGCAAATTTAATTTCATCATAATTCCATACAAATATTGCCTATATTTCAATTTTAGAGATACTAGAAGTTGTAAACAACACGATCTTCCACTCCAACTTTCTAACTTTGACTCCCTTCACAAAAAATAAATTCAAGAGCCCAGTTTCATAGGTTTTTTGTTCTTCTTCTCCCCCAATTCCAAATATGTCTTAAACTATCCTGGAAACAAAAGGAATAACAATGTTATCATGGAAAGATCATATCCTATTTGAATATTTATGATATATTTTTTAGTAAATGAATAATTAAGTTGTAAGGGACATGATTTGACCTATGACATGTGAAAACCGTAAAACCTTGAACTGTATTAAAAGTATAGGTGTTCTGTAGTGTGACTCATTTCAGAATAAAATTCAAAATCAGATATTCACTTTTAGAAAATAAACATTCTCTGCTGGTGTTACTAACAGTATCACCATCTTCTGGAGTGATTTGTGGTTTAAGTTAAAAGGAGAATAAGGCAGGGCTTCAAGCAACTTGAACTCCTGTACAAATACATTTCAAATACATTCCTTTAGTTTTTTATTAATGGAGTTTTTCTATATTTAATGCAAAATGAATTGAGTTCTGTAGTTAATGTAAATTAATTTTAAATAAAAATTAGCCATCAAAAGGAATTTGTATGCTGTTGTACTATTCAGACTTTTATGAGTCTCAGAGAAAATAAATAAAAACCATACAGAAATAAAGAAAAAATTCTTAATTTAAAAAATCTCTCGCCAGTGCCTAGTTGGCTCAGTAGGTGGAACATGCGATTCTTATCTTGGTGTTGTAAGTTCGAGCCTCGCATTGGGTATGGAGACTACTTAAAAAATAAAATCTTCCGTGCACCTGGGTGGCTCAGTTGATTAAGCATCAGACTTTGGCTCAGGTTATGGTCTCACAGTTCTTGAGTTCTTGAGCCGTACATTGGCTCTCTCTCTCTCAAATCAAATCAAATGAAATCAAGTCTTTAGGGGAACATGGGTGGCTCAATCGGTTAAGTGTCTGACTCTTGATTTTGGCTCATGTCATGATCTCATAGTCATGAGATCAAACCCTGCATTGGGCTCTGTGCTGAGCATGGAACTGGCTTGAAATTCTCTGTCTCGCCCTCTGCCCCTCTTCTCTGTTTGCACGCTCTCTCTAAAATAAACTTAAAAAACCTTTTTTTTAATATAATTTATTTTCAAGTTAGCTTGGAATAAATACTACCTATCAGCAAAGACAAAAAATGAAATCTTGCCATCATATCAGATATCATATGTTCTCACTCCTATATGGAATTTGAGAAACTTAACAGAAGACCATGGGGGAAGGGAAGGAAACAAAATAGTTACAAACAGAGGGAGTCAAACCATAAAAATTTTTTTTTAATAAATCTTTTAAAATTCAACAAGTCTGAAATATAAGGTAAGAAGTTCTAGATGTTCAAATAAAAACTTTTCAGATTTTGCATTTTTTTAACTGAAGTTAATAAAACATTTGATAAGAAGGACATTTAATTTTTTTAATTTTTAACTTTTTAAAGACTTTATTTTTAAATCATCTCTACATCCAATGTGGAGCTTGAACGTAAAACCCCAAGATCAACCCTGAGCCAGCCAGGTGCCCCTAGAAGAACATTTTAAATACGGATTTCCCTTAAAGTTCTTTATTTTGTTTGGTTGGGAAAAATAATTACACTGATTAAACACAAAACTTTTCTAAAACTGAAAATTTTTAGTATTATACTTGCCTCTTTCACATGTGGAACTTACTGTAATCAAAGTAAGCCTTTTCAGTGTAAAATGTCAATTTCCTTTTGAAAACTCAAAGAATCTGAGCTCCACCTGCTGACTAAACATAAGCACTTAACATTTTGCTTTTAGTTATGTCTGGCCCTAAGTGCAAAGGGTTGCTTTACATGGAAAGGGCAGAAAAGACTAATAAAGCAGCACTTGCTGCTTTAATCCAGGTGCATACATTTTAATGCCAAACCAAATATTGGACTCTGAAATAGAAAAAGTAGAGTCCTTACCCATAGGTAGCTTATCTGAAACAAATTTAAAATTTTCCATCTCTTTTTATCATTGTGGTATGAACTTTTTAGCTTTGAAGATAATAAAGATGCATGTATTTCCAACAGATCTTTAATAAGAGATGGATTCCTGGTAATGACTCTAAAGGGACTGTGTGACTGCTGGATAAAAACTATAGGCACATATTTGTTAATCTGAGTGGGGAAAGAATGACCATCTACTTAATCCTGAGGCCTACAGTGAAGCTTTTTTTCTTTTAGAAAATACTAGCTCTAACATGAACTCTGTAACAGCCGAAGCATTTCTAAGCAAACAAAAAACAACCAACAAACTTCAATATAATCAAGAATGAAAGAATAAAGAATCCTAAGCAGCCACAGAAGATGTGCTTATATGTAAAGACTTATTTTTTGGAAAACTCATTTCTGTGAACACCCTTTTCTCTGACAATGATAAATAAATACTCTGTTACTGAATTAAATCCTACATTCTATGAAATTGAAGGATCCTAACTGATTAATACTATGTTACTTAGTAACTAGATTCTCCTCTATATTATTTTTTTTGTAAACACATAAGCATTAAAAGGCTAGATTTCTTGTCAATGTGAATTTTTCCATATTTGATCTATTAAAAATATGCCCCCCAATTTTTAAAAAAATTTATTTAATTATTTTTAGAGAGAGAGAGAAGTGAGCACATGTGAATAGGGAAGGGGCAGAGAGACAGAGGGAGAGAAAGAATCCCAATCCCAGTGCAGAGGCCAATGCAGGGCTCAAATTTAAGAACCGCGAGATCATGACTAGAACTGAAGTCGGATGCTTAACTGACTGAGCCACCCAGGTGCCCCTGTGCAAAATTTTTCTTTAAAACCAGCAGTTATTACAGGCACCTGGGTGGCTCAGCTGGTTGAGTGACTTCAGTTCAGGTCATAATCTCACAGGTTCACGAATTTGAGCCCCACGTCAGGCTCTGTGATAACAGCACGGAGCCTGGAGTGTGCTTCAGATTCTGTGTCTCCGTCTCTGCCCCTCCCTGGCATGTGTTCTTTCTCTCTCAAAAATAAATATTAAAAACAACAACAACAACAACAACCAGCAGTTATTAAATACCAATGACTGTTACTAATTCTTACTCTAAGCCCAGATGGGAATCTTACCAGATATATATCGAGTGGGGTCACTACTAAAGCGATCATCCACTAGAATAAGAGCTCCCCAATCATTTTTGTGTCGAATACACCTATTAAAAAATAGGGAGAAAAATCAAACAAAAGTAACTTTGAAAATAAAAGCCAGATTTCTTGTGAGACAGATATAAGATTAAGAAAAATCAGTGATTTATCAGTGGTATATTCCTTTAACCAAGCCTCGTTATTATAATTAAGATTATAGAAACAACTCAATACCAAAGTAGGTATACTAAAATTCTACTTTTGCCAACTCTTGTTAACTTATATCAAAAAATGTTTATATGGATTCTATTTGTAAGCCAAACATTTATAGGAAATATTTTCCAAAATCTTACTTAGCTACACAAATTTTTGTTACCTTCAATGTCATATTAGTTGTAGATTTTATGTAGATGACCTTTGTTCTACTTTAATGAGTTTTTATCATGAATGAATGTTTAATTTTGTAAAACAAACAAACTTGGGAAGCACCAATTGATATGACCATTTAGCTTTTCTTCTTTAAACTGTTAACATGACAGACTTTCATTACTAAGATATCCACATGTTGTTATGGTGTAATATTCTTTTTATAGATTGTTGATTTGGGTTGCTAAAATGTTTTTTAATTTTAAAAATTATTTTAGGGGCGCCTGGGTGGCTTAGTCGGTTAAGCGTCCGACTTTGCTTAGGTCATGATCTCGTGGTTCGTGGGTTCGAGCCCCGCGTCGGGCTCTGTGCTGACTGCCAGCTCAGAGCCTGGAGCCTGTTTCGGTCTGTGANGTTTTATCTGATAGAGAGTCCAAAATAACAGTCATAAAACTGTTCACATAGATCAGGAGAGCAATGTATAAGCAAAGTGAGAATTTCAACAAATTGACAACATTAAAAAGTATCAAAGAGAAATCATGAGGGGCGCCTGGGTGGCTTAGTCGGTTAAGCGTCCGACTTTCGCTTAGGTCATGATCTCGCGGTTCGTGGGTTTGAGCCCCGCGTCGGGCTATGTGCTGACTGCCAACTGAGAGCCTGGAGCCTGTTTCGGTCTGTGACTCCCTCTCTCTCTGACCCTCCCCTGCTCGCGCTGTCTCTCTCTCTCTCTCTCTCTCCTAGAAATAAAAATATTAAAAAAAAAATTATTTTAAATAATTTTAAATGCATAATTCAGTGATTTTTAGTACGTTTACAAAGTCGTGAAACCTACACCACTCTCTACCACACAACATTTTTATCTCACCAAAAAGAAACCCAGTGTCAATCAATCACTCTCATTTATCCAATTATTCCCCCTATTCCCTGGGAACCACTAACATACTTTCTGTCTCTATAATTTGCCTATTTTGGAAAGTTCATATGACTGGAATCATGCAACATACAGCGTGATTCTTACAATCAGCATGTTTTCTCAAGACTGCTTGTATCACATGTATCAGTACTTTATTCCTTTTTATAGCTGAATAATATTCCATTGTATTTATCCATTCATAAGTTAATGTGCATTTGGGCTGTTTTCACCTTTTGACTATTATGAATAATGCTGCTATGAACATTTGGGTCCAAGTTTTCATATGAATCCAACTAGGAGTGGAATATTCAATATAGGAATCCAATGTTAACTTTTTGAAGAACTGTCACATTTTTGTCTGAATCAGCTGCACAATTTTACATTCCGACCAGTGTTGTGTGAAACTTACAACTTCTCCATATCCTCATCAACACCTGTTATCATCCATCTTCTTCGTTAAATGTAAGTGTGAAAGTGGCATTTCACTGTGGTTCTGATTTGCATTTCCCTAACAACTAGTGATGTTGAACATATTTTCATGTGCATAGTGGCCATTTGTGTATCTCTTTTGGAGAAATGTCTATTCAAAGTATTGGTCCATTTTTAAATTGCATTATTTGTCTTTTCACTGTTGAATTATAAGAGTTCTTTCTGGGGGCGCCTGGGTGGCTCAGTCGGCTAAGCATCTGACTTTGGCTCAAGTCATGATCTCATGGTTCGTGGGTTTGAGCCCCGCGTCAGGCCCTGTGCTGACAGCTCAGGGCCTAGAACCTGAGCTTCGGATTCTGTATCTTCCTCTCTCTGACCCTCCCCTGCTCACGCTGTCTCTATCTTTCAAAAATAAGTAAAACATTTAAAAAAAGAGTTATTTATATATTCTGGATACTACACGCTTTGCAAATTATTTTCTCACATGTGTGAGTTCTCTTCTACCTTTTAACATTGTTCTTTGAAGAACAAAAGTTTTAACAAAGTTAAACAAAAGTTTGATAAAACCCAATTTACCTAATTTTTAAGTTGCGTTGTTGATGTCAGATTTAAGAAACCATTGTCTACCAGGGTGCCTGGATGGCTCAGTTGGTTAAGCGTCCAACTTTGGCTCAGGTCATGATCTTGAGGTTCATGAGATTGAGGCCTGCATTGGGCTCTGTGCTCACAGTTTAGAGCCTGGCCTGTTTCAGATTCCATGTCTCCCTCTCTCTCTGCCCCTCCCCGCTTACTTTCCCTCAAAAATAAACATTTTATTAAAAAAAAAAAAAAAAAAGGAAGAACGATTTCCATTTCCATTTTCTAGGGGCAACTGGGTGGCTTAGTAGGCTGTGTGTCTCACTCTAAGTTTGTGGGATCAAGCCCGGAGTTGGGCTCTGCCCTGACAGCACAGAGCCTGCTTAGGCTCTCTCACTCTCTCTTTGCCACTCCCCTGCTCATGCTCTCTCTCTCAAAATATACAAACTTAAAAAAAAAAAAAAAAAGGAAGAAACCAGTGGACTTTAAGGACTTACACCTTGTTAGTTTTTGACCCATTTTGAGTTACCTTTTGTATACAGTGAGAGGGTAGGGGACTAATTTTATTCTTTTAGATGGATATGCACCATCTGTTAAAGACTATGCTTTCCCCATTGGATTGTCTTGGCACTTTTTGGGAGGGGGTGTTGGTGGCTTAAACAACAGGAGTTTATTTCTCATAGCTCTTGAGGCTAGTAAGTGCAGACAGAAGTGCAAACTGATTTAGTTCTGTGGTGAAGGCTCTCTTGGCTTGCAGATGTCAGCTGTCTCACTGTGTACTCCTCATATGGGTGGGGATGGAAAGAGGGAAAAGAAAAGAAGAGAAAGAATCAAGTCCTCTGATGTCTGTTCTTATAAGGGCACTAATCCCATCATGAGGGTCCCGCTTACATGACCTCATCTAAACCTAATTACATTCCAGAGGCCTCATCTCCAAATAGCATTACACAGGAGATAAGGGCTTCAACCTATGAATTTGAGGGAGGCAAAATTCAGTTCATGGGAGTAAGAAAGAAAGAAAATCATATATGATTTTTAGACATCATATATGATTTTCATATATCATCTATGAAAAGGTGCTAAGGTGCTAGGGAAAAAAAACAAAAAGGGAAAGAGGAATATTGGCAGAGGATGATAAATATTAAAAAGGGGGATTTTTGAGCACGTCAGAAAACATCATTTGAACAAAGATTCTTTACAGGTAAGGGAATGAGCTGTGTGAATATCTAGAAGGGAAGTGTTCTGGCAGAGAGAAATGTAAGGGCAAAGAGGCTGCAGCAAGAGCTTACCTGACATAGTCAGGAAACAGCAAGGAGCACAGTATACCTTCTAGATTGTACCTTCTTCTCTCCCTTTAATTGTGGAGTCATATAGGATGATTTGGTAGTTATCTAGCAGTGTTCATCGGACGTGAGGAGCCTAGGGTCCTCCTACTCCACCACCATCTTCCTCTCACTCTGTCTTGGCACTTTTGTCAAAAATAAGCTCACTGTAAACATAGAGGATAATTTCTGGACCTTCAATTCTACCTCCTGTCCTACATGTCTATGTTATGCCAGTACAACACAAGCCTCAATTATTGTAGCATTGCAATAAGTCTGAAGTTGAGAATTCTCAGCTCTCCAATTTTGTTCTTCTTTTTCAAGATTTTTGTGACTATTCTGGGTTTCTTTCAATTTCCATATACATTTTAGGATTAGCTCCTCAGTTTCTGCAAGAAAGCCAGCTGGGATTTTGGTTGGGATTGCACTGAATCTCTGTAGATCAATCTGTGGGAATGTTGCTATCTTAACAGTAAGTCTTCCAATCCTTCGTCACAGAATTCTTCTATTTAGAAATTTCTTTCAGCAATGTTTTGTAGCCTTCAGTGTACCGGTCTTGCATTTCTTCTGTTACAGTTACTCCTAACTATTTTATTTTCTTTGATGTTATTACAAATAAAAAATATTTATTTTTATTGAAGTATACCATTGACACACAATGTTATATGAGTTTCAGGTTTACAACACAATGATTTGACAAATCTATACATTATATTATGCTTACAACAAATGTAGCTACCATTTGTCACAACACTATTACAATATGCAAATGGAATTAATTTCATTTTTGGATTATTCATTCCCACTGTATAAAGTGATTGATTTTCATATACTTTTTAATACTTTTGTAACTTACTGAACTTGTTTATTGGCTCTATTAGTTATATTTCATGGATATAAATCTCCACGTAGAATATCACGTCATTTGCAAATTTTAAAATAATTTTATTTCTTTTCCAGTCCAAATAATTTTTCTTTTTTTTTTTTCTTGCCTAATTGCCCTGTGTAGAACCTCTAATATAATACTAAATACAAGTGGTGAGAGTGGACATCCTTATCTTGTTATCATACACAGGGGGAAAGTTTTAGTTTTTATTTTTAAATGAATATAATTTATTGTCAAATTGGCTTACATCAACACCCAGTGCTCATCCCAGCAAGTGCTCTCCTCAATGCTCATCACCCAATTTCCCCCTTCCTCCACCCCCATATCCACCCTCAGCTTGTTCTCTGTATTTAAGAGTCTCTTGTGGTTTGCCTCCCTCCCTCTCTGTTTGTAACTTCCCCCTCCCTTCCATTCCCCCATGGCCTTCTGTTAAGTTTCTCAAGATCCACATACAATATCTGTCCTTCTCTGATTGTCAGTCTTTTATCATTGTTAACTATAGGTTTGCCATAGATGTTCTTCTATTTCTGCTTTGAGGGTTTTAGCATGAAAATGTATTGAATCAATATTTCCTCA